GGGTTTTAGAAGGGGCAGAAAGCTTTAGGTGACCTCCTCCACAGCCATGAGCCTCATGTAGAATCTGTTAGTTTAGTCGGTTTGATCATCGAGCTTTTACATCGATTTTGGTCTCATGCTCCAAAGACAAAACCCTTCTGCAAGGCCGGAAAATTCCGAATGTTCAAATCTCTAGGCCATTTGAGGCTAAGCCTTCGAAATGCTGAGCGCGCATGGTAAGCCTAATTCCCTAGTGCCAGAACTTAGCAAGTGTTTTCTATGTACTATGATGTGGGGAAATGTTGAGAGTATCCTGAACCGGACCCCTAGTGAATGCATCTCTGCAACTCGCTTTTTTCGTTGCAGTCAGTAATATAGTTGTGGTCGCCTTAATAGTGACCCAGACTATCTTGTTGGGTTCTTGTTATAAGTATGGTAAAATATGCCCCAAACTCTCATTCAGACCCTTACATTAAGCCTTGAAGCCGGCAGGTGATCGGATCCACCCCTCGAAGCTTGCTGATCCATCTCGGCCTTGACAAAGAAGCGGGCAGCGCTCTCGGACAGGGAGCGGGCTAGGCTGCTCCGTTGCCTTTGCCTTAGTTGCCCTAAACCCTAAAAAACAACCCAGAACCCCGAACTCTAAACCCTAAACCCTAAACCCTAAACCCAGAACCCCAAACTCTAAACCCTAAACCCAGAACCCCAAACCCTAAACCCTAAACCCAGAACCCCAAACCCTAAACCCTAAACCCAGAACCCCAAACCCTAAACCCTAGACCCTACATGTTTCCCAAACACTAGGCGACCCTTAACCCTGAAGGCCCAAGCTTGCCTGGGCATTCGCGATGTCACCTACAGGGCAGCGTGGTTGAGTGAGTATAAAGGCGGGAAGGATGGTAACACGATCCTCATTTAAGCCCTATCATCACTAAAATTATAGTATAACGTACCCAAGAACAAAGCCCTAATCCAATCATTTATTCAGGCCCGCCTATGAGTCTGCACGACATGCACTGATGCTCCGGCCGGGGTGGCTCTCGAGTTTGAGCCGTCCCAGCCACGGCATGGAGACAGAGCTAGAGAGCACTTTGGGCCCAGATGCAGGCCCTATAGCCGGCTCTCGAACTGTCGCTTTTTGGGCCGGGTAATGAACTAGGACGAAGCCGAAACCCTGAAGAGTCTTATACATTGGTAGTGGTAGCAAAGGCTAGCGGGGGGGGCATCCTACGAACATATATCGAAGACCAAAGACAATGCTAGGCGCATTGAGACCGGTAGGTAGCTGAATGCATAAAGATCAACACATCCGAACTAACCAGCTCTTCCCTAAACAGAAATGTGTACGCACCTTCAATGGTGGATCTGTCTGGAGGCAGCTCCGAAGGAAGCGAGATGGACCAAAAGTCGGAGAGCATCCAAGAGGCTCGTCCTGGCGCTCTGGCCCGTTCTGGGTTGGTTTCCTTACGTCTTTCTCAGGTAAAAAAGAAGCGTCGTGGGTGTCTGGGCCCCAGGAAGTCAAATGGAGGATTACCTGTTACCCAGAAAGATCGGCGCAAACCATATTTCACGCGACAAGCAGCCCTGTGTGGCTGAACGCGTCTATCGTTAACCTCATATTCATGCTACCTTTCGTGCCTGGCGTGGGTGTGTCTTCGACGTTTATCCGTGCTTAGTTTTCTTGGTAGCTGTCATGTTTTCACCATTTTTGAACCTTCAAGGTTCATCGTTCATCGCTTGAGTTGGTTGCTGGTTACTGTCGTGCGAGCCTGTTGCTTTGATAGTAATCCCAGCAGCGTTTGTTACTGTGTAGGCTGAATCACGCCTGTCGTCGTCATCTTTATCACCAACACCATCAGCATCAACCTCTTCATCATGGTTCGTTGTGGTCGTCAGCATCGTCATCATCCTCCTCATCATCATCATTATCATCATCATGGGCAGCATCATGTTCGTCGCGTTTCCCATCCTCGTTTTCCAACCATGAACAAGCATCGCATTTCATTCCTAGTTGTGCCGGCTTCCAGCAAGAGTTCCTGCTGGCGGGTAGTTGACAAACGCGAAAGCTTTATGCTGCCAAAAGACATGTAAAAGTTCAAACGGTCCCCATGTTTGGTTGTCAGCACATGCTGAGCGACTTCTCCATCCATCCAGCTTGTATGTCTTTATCCGCTGGGTTGTTTGGGCTGAAGGCGTTAAAGTGCACAGGTCTTTTGCCACATTCCTGCTCGGTGTGGTAACGGAGAGCAAATACGGAGTTCCAACAACTGAAAAGCATTGTAATCGGCTGAGAAGCTTACGGTTGCGATTTGTATTAGTTATCAAGCGCCGTCGCAGTTCGAATAAGTTGCATGGTCGCAGCATGGTTGTCATCGCAGCCAAGAACTGTCTGGCCGCCCAGACGAATTCCGGTGAGCAACATTCGGTCCTGTGAAAGGTGGTGAGCGGACGGCCGTATCGGGTCAGACCGTTAGTAGGGTGTGGACTGTGCAGGTGCCTTCCGGCCAACAGCATGCATGCCAAATGGGATGGATTTTGCTCCGTTTCCAACTTTCCCAAATCACGGTGGTGAGCAGACGACCGCATGGGTCACACCGGTGGTGAGGTGTGGACTGTGCGGATGCATTCCGGTCAACAAAACGCATGCCACATGGAAGTGGTGTCACACTCTCGATAATTTTCCCAAAGTAACATGGCCAGCAGATGGCCGCAATTGGTCACAGTTGGTCGGGTGTCGCCTGTGCAGATGTCTTCGGATTCAAGCCAACAGCGTGCATACCAAATGGATTCCATTCTATTCCGAACCAACCCCAATTCAAAGCTGGGCGTATCTAGATAGCATCAGACCGTTGGTGGTGTGTGGACGGTGCAGATGCCAATGCATGCCAAGTGCATGGGTTCTCATTCTTGCTGCGACGTTTCTCAAGGGAAACTTGGCCAGCAGATGCTCGTTTAGGGCCAGACGGTTGGTAGGGTGTGGACTGTTCAGATGCCTCCTGGCCAACAGCATGCATGCCAAATGGAGTTCAATCTATTCTTGATTCCACGTGGTGGGCAGATGGCATCAGACCGTTGGTAGGGTGTGGACTGTGCAGGTGCTTTCCGGCCAACAGCATGCATGCCAAATCCGCTGGTTTTCGCTCCGTTTCCAATTTTGCCAAATCACAGTGGTGAGCAGAGGACCGCATGGGTCACACCGGTGGCGAGGTGTGGACTGTGCGGATGCCTTCCGGTCAACAGCACATGGAATGGGCGTCACATGGTCGACAAGTCTCCCTTAAAGTAACATGGCCAGCAGATGGTCGCAATTGGTCACACCGTTGGTCGGGTGTCGCCTGTGCAGATGTCTTCAGATTTAAGCCAACAGCGTGCATGCCAAATGGGTCTCATTCTTGCTGCGACGTTTCCCAAGGAAAACTTGGCCAGCAGATGGTCGTTTAGGGCCAGACGGTTGGTAGGATGTGGACTGTGCAGATGCCTCCTGGC